GCTAAATAATTGGCTATATCTGCATACCATTGTACTTCTATTACTGCAAATAGTTGTTCATCTGGAAAGGTTTTTCTAATTGGAGTTGGTTCTTCCTTTATTTCATAATTTAGCCTTAACAACTGATCTGCTACCACATTTTTAACTCCTTTCTTATCCTTAATGATAAGATCAAATTCTTGAAGTAACAAAATTCATCATTGGAGACGTGATTTAACATCTTTCTTACTAAGTAAATATTTTAAAGCTGCATGATCTATAAATACAACAATTGACGATCCAACCAGATATGAACGAAATTTGTCTAAAGTAAATACAACTGCAAGTAGTTCTTTCTCTGTAGTTGAATAGTTCATTTTTGCATCATTCAAAGTTTTACTTACATAGTAAATAACATAAGGTTTTTTTTTCTTTTCTTTGAACTAATACAACTCCTACTGCATAATCACTTGTATCACATATTAATTCAAAGGATGAAGACCAATCAGCAGGTTGCATAATAGGTGCGAAAGTAAGTATATTTTTCAATTTATCAAATGATAATTGACATGCTTTATTCTATTCAAATAATGCATCCTGACATAAAAAATTGCATATAGGTCTAGATATTGAACTAAAATTTATTTATAAATCTTCTATAAAATCCTGAATGACCTAGAAAAGAGCGAACATCTTTTACAGTTTTTGGAGGAGGAAGATTAGCTATCAAATCAATTTTATATTTATCAACTTCGATCCCTTTTTCAAACACCACATGACCTAAAACAATACCTTGTGTAACCATAAAATAACATTTTTTTTCTAAATTAAGACAAGGCTTGTTTCTTCACATTGAATGAGCATTTTTTCAAGATTTTCTAAACATAAATGAAATGAATCACCATATACTGAAAAATCGTCCATAAAACCTTCTAGATATCATTCTACCATATCACTAAATATACTTAACATACAACGCTGAAAGGTAGCTGGAGCATTACATAATCCAAAAGATATTCTTTTATATGCAAAAGTACCAAAATGACATGTAAATGTAGTTTTTTTTTTTTTTTATCATCTATTGCAATTTCAATCTGATTATAACTAGAATATCCATCTAAAAAATAATAATATGAATGACCAGCTATTATTTCTAAAACTTGATCTAGAAATGGTAATGGGAATTAATCTTTTTTAGTGAGGGAATTTAGCTTTCGATAGTCAATACACACGCCAACCTGTGACTGTACGCACAGAGATTAATTCATTCTCTTATTTTTTATTACCGTAACACCAAAATTTTTAGGGACTACTTATGGAGGATTAATCCATTTACTATCAGATGTAGGTTAGATAATATTAGCATCCAATAGTTTAAATACTTTATTGCAAACTACCTTTTTCAGGTGTGGGTTTAATCTTCTTTGCATTTGTCAAGATGGTTTAGCATTTGCTTCTAAATATATACAATGAGTACACAGAAGTGGGCTTATACCTTTTATATATGCTATTGTTCATCCAATAACACTTTGATGATCTTTTTTTTCTTGACTTTGAAATAAATCTGATGATATAATCACGAGATGAATTTCATCTTTTTCTAAAAAAACATATTTCAAATTAGTTGGAAGAGGTTTTAAATCTAGCTTAAAAATTTTAACACTGGACTCTACAAATTTAGACAACAAATTTTCACATTTTGAATTCTTTATATTTTTAGATTCATCATTAGATATAGACTCTAATGTATATAACTCTTTTTCCATAAAAATATTTTCAAATAAACTCTGAGTTAATAACTCAACACAATTTACTTCAGGCACTTCATCTTCTTCTCTAGATTGTTTTGCACTGTTGAAAACATTTAATTATAAAGTTATGTTTAAAAATGAAAGTTTCATGACTCCATTCCTACAATTAATCAATGCATTTGATGTAGTTAGGAATGGTCGACCCAAAATAATAGGTATGTATGCAGATGCATGAAAAATTGGTTGTGTATCTAAAACAATAAAATCTGCTAGAAAATAAAATTGATCAACTTGGATAATAACATCATCCACAATCCCTCGTGGAGTTTTTATTGATCGGTCTGCTAATTGTAGTGTAAGATTAGTAGGTTTCAACTCACTTAATCCTAGAAGTTCGAGACAAAGGAATAAAAAAGAGTTTCTCTATGGCCTCCTCGTTTTGAGACATTATGGCTTGGGGTCGACCCCGGTAACAAAGAAGGAATCCATAAAAACTTAGGATCCGACACCATGATAAAAGACTACCCTCATGATTAGACCATGTCCCTGAGATTTGATAAAAGAAAGGGCATTAGCGGTTAATACGTTTGTAATTGGATAAGTTATTAGAATATGACGGAACGAAAGACCAAGGAAAGAAAGAAGAATGCACCAAATGCAGGTGCTGCACCAAACACTGGTGGTTGTTTCTGTTGTAAGTGAATGCAACGAAAAGACCCGGAAATAACGAATAATGAACAATTCATATATTGACATTTCGTGCTCATTTCCAAATTTCTGCTTTGTTATTCCCATCATCCGGTAACCACAGGATGATCCACAAGAAAGGTGGCAGGATTCGAACCTATGGCCGGACCGCCCCTGACCTGCTGGGTTGGGTGGCCGGGTTAGCACCCCTCGTCGCCTCTGTACCCGAAACAGATGCGCTGCGCTACCCAGCGCGTAACCTTGTCTACCCTACCCCTCTTCTGGTTGTGCCATTACCAATCGCGGGTAACCCCCGGTCCGGCCGCCCCTGACCTAAGAAGAACGATTATCCTTATGACCAAACAAGGACCAGCTTACTTACTTCTCGAGCGATAGTTCCACGATCCTGACCAGCAACTTGTTGGGAGTAGGGGCATCAAAGCTTGCCCAACCTAGTAAAGGGGCTTGGAGATAGAGGGTTTTCTGGGGGAGATCAAGTTTCCAGGTTGGATTTTTTAGATCAAATAGGACTAGTTGGGTAGATAGAGGTGGTGAAATCTAACCTTTGCATCGATGTTTAGCAGGACGGGTCGCTTGAGTGTCAAAACCAAGCGGTGGTTGTTTTTCCTTGGCTTATCGAACCAGCGTATGCCCATTCCTCCTTTGATGACTCCCAGTAGAGAAAGCCTAAATTTGCCGATGTGGATTGAAAGGAAGTTGGGGATGGACATAGATCCTTCCGCCTATCCAGAGTGTTGGAAATAAAGCAATGGTTTTTGTATTTCTTATTTCCCGATCATTGGAAGCAATCTTCACTGGCACAAGGATCTCCTCACAGCAACCTCCACTACAATAGAACCCGACAATGAGTTTACGAAGGCTTCGAGTAGTGCGGGATAGGCTAATCACCAGACTGCTCTGGAATAGGTTAATCGCCGGAGACAAGAACGAGTGAATCTAGTTTCGAGAGCATGCCTTACTCTAACTCTAATAGGGGCGTAGAGTTTCTAAGTGAAGGCAAGCGCAACTCTCTATTTCATATCCTACCTGTCAGCAAGGCAGGTCCGCTATAAAGCCTACTGGCCAGAAAGTCCTCAAGAACGAGAAAGCCGACCAAAAGACTATTCCATAACCGACTCTTGTTGCCGAATCGAGGGGGCTTGGCTTGTACCAGGCTCTAAAAGAGTTTTCTTCGAGCGAGCGGTCTTTCTATCTTTTTGGGTTGCATGCCTTGGAAATAAAGCAATGCTTTTTGTAGATTGAGATGGATTGATCTTCGCTATCGTGCCTCTTCTTTGTACCAGTTGATGCTACGGCAGTGCCTAATATGAGTTTGCTCCTGCCTCAGACAGCTTCGAGATTCCCATCGATTTCAGAGGTTTCAACCACTGAACTTGCTTATGCTCCCCTTTGATCGAGTGCTATTTCTATAATCAATATTGAGTAAGAAAGAATTGGCTTCAATCGAGATGCCCCGGCTTCTTAGGCACATGAGGAACCGGCCTAACATCTTTTCAATCGAAATCCCAATCAAAGACAAGTTCTACCAAGGCCAGGATCTGAAAGAGAAGATTCACTTTCCGGAATCAAGCAAACCTTATTCTTTGTCCATGTGGATGCAGGATAAATAGGGCTTGGTGGGAATAGAGGAAAACTCATGTGGAGGAATTAATAGAATCTTGGTTAGAGACGGGTTGATATTTTCATAGGACCCACGAAGAAAGGAATCACCTCGGCTCTTCTCCTCCACACCATACACCCATAAATGAATTCGAGTATTTGCCGACAGTGCACTTACTGGAAATATATGTGTGTATTGACTACCAAGAGTAAAGCAATTGATTTTGATCGCGCACTGACTTATTTTTTTTCCATGTACTATAGTCTCTTTGGAGCCGACCTAGAGTCAAATCTCACCAGCAATACCCCCATGCTTCCACAGTCTGCTTACCGAGGAATAGAAAGGATGGACTCCAGGCCAGATCAAGTTGGTCCGGCTAGTGAGTGATTAGTGAACAATATCGCCCTATTTGACAACATTCCTCTCTGCAGGTGACACTCGCGGAATCATGAAACACTCCATACAAATCAAACAAGTCAGTGCAGTCATGGGATCCCCCGTCCACATGGACAACACAAGACTGTTACGATGGGAGAGTTTAGAGGCCTTACAGTAACCCGGACTTCTTTTTCTTTCTATCATCTCTTGTCAAAATAAAGTGTTCTGCTCTACGTTTGAAGAGCCAAGTGGTAGCATTACTGCAGTAACAGCAACAGTGTCAACGCCTGAAAACAATTAACCTCGCAAGGAAAATGACATACTATCAACATAATCAATTTTTCTGTATGCTATCAATAATTTGCAGGCAAGAAAATATCCAAATTTAAAAAAAAAATACCCTACAAAAATGCCAAGATAAATAATCGGAACTGTTTCATGAGATTTTTTACAGGGTCAAAAACCACACTTTGAATCCTCCAGCATACTCCCCCCATTGAGGGTAGTGCTTAATTCATCAAGGCAAAACTGCATCAAACACGACTCGATTACCACCATACAACACACCACACCTTTTTCCCATCCTATGACCTGCTAGGGAAATCCAAACGCAACAATTGGGGCGAGAAAAGTGCTATGAGCAATGGATTTTTCCTTAAACACGTATTAAAATTGTTCTTGCTGATGCTCCCATGGCTATCAGTGTCAAACAAAAGGAAGAGTTCATGGATCTGCAAAAGCCAAGTTTGACAAACCTCAAGAATGTGGACCAAGTCGGAAATTTTCCACATCTAATACATGGATTATGTAAAATTAATGGTAATCGACTACTCACCTCATCTTCATTCAAGTTTGGAATTGCCAATAAAATGGAGCCTCCAAACTGTTACGCATGGAATTAGTAACAAAGAAGTTAAAGTTGTCTCAGAACAATGGGAAAATCAAGAAAAAGAAACAGAGAAATGTACTTCTTGCTCTGAAATGTCATGGTTTCCATCAGAGCCGCATCCAGTAAATGCTAATTCACATGCTTGTAGGAATAATGGCTGCTTCAGTACATGAGCTGATCCAAATAAGAACTGCAAGTAATATCATCAACTAGACAATCATCTATCATATCGAATCTGAGAACAAAAGTTGAATTAGCACCCAATAAAAGTCTACAACCCGTTAACACGTCACATGTTAACTATGCCCGTTACAGAAAACCACCATGCTACTCCAAAGTGGATAAATTGTTACTCTTTTTCCTTCTTGTTTTTTAGTTATACAAAAAACTTTCTTCATTAACTGGTCTACTTCTAACCATAACTTTCAATTAAACACAAAAGTTGACTGACAATTCTAGAATTTCAATATTTTCCTCAGTCAATGAATATGACAAATGCAAGTCAAATGCTTGACTAAGTCGAGCATGAAAGTTCCAGGTAAAATAGGCATGTACAAATGTAGCAAATTAGACAATTCTGGTTTCGTTTTATCTCAGAGTCTGATAATTCAAGTGAGTTACTGAAAAAGATAGAGCACTTTTCAGCTTTACACCACATATCCTACCAATCATTGAACCCTTGACTTAGGTGGAGGTTCAAGTCATACAGCAACAACCCAAAATAGATTCAACTACATCCAAATCCAGACACCCACTTAAGCCAATAGATGATCTCTGCCATTAATGAAATTGCTTAATTCAGTATAATACCAATGAAGAGCTGAAGAATGATCCAAGTTTCAAATGAGTGCACATGAGCAGGTGGATATCTAGTGTACATGTATACATTACGCATGCATCAGATGCACAAGCTCATATATATGGATATGAGGACATAAACACAAGTATGTGCATACAAGAGTGCTGGGAGGGATGGACCAAGTACAAACCTAATCTTTTGCATTATTTGCACAAAGTGCCTGCCCTCAAATTTGAACCACAATTCAAAGTTGTTAGCCTATTCCACGAAATGTATGTGTTTATTACATATGGGGAGAATGAGAGAGAGAGAGAGACCTCTTTAAATGTTATCCTGCCTCTCTTCTGCACATCAACGAATCCAAATATCTGCAATGCAGAATAATTTCCATAAAATGGGAGATAGACGTAAAAAATGCCCAAATTTATTAGTTTACCAATACAGAACCACCAACTAAATTAGGTATCGACAATTCTTTCAAGCAAAATGCATAAGAATCAAATCATCCTATTCACATGAGATTGCTGACCAAGCAATCAAAATGAATCTCAAAATGCACACATTATTTTCATTATTATTTTAGTTTTTCCATCTATTTTCCAAGGCAAACGCTTCATTCCGGCCATTCCAGATGCCAAGCATAGTTTTATCATAATTTTGTATCTTGATATGACAAACATGAAGCATCTGTCTGTAAATCACAGTATTATCATTTATGTTTATTTATCTAAAAGCAGGTATCAGGCCAAAAAAAAAAAAATCAAAAAAGGGCAAACCAAATTAGTTTGGCTGTTCAAATAGTTGAAAAACAACTAAACTATGATGGTAGTACAAATAACCATCCAGCCATGGTAAGAACTGAATACAAAAATACAGTTAACAAGTAACAACAAAATTGAGAAGTTACATAAAAGCATAATCTAACTGGTAACTGACCTTTTCTGAAAGGGTACAAGCCTTCAATCTAAAAAACCTCAAGAAATTATGGATTTCAACATGTCCGCTGCAAACATGATGAGTATAGTCAATAACAGTTCTGGCATTTGCACAAACTTGAAACTAATCTAACAAAAACTCGGATGAACGTTGTCACATAATAGCGTGGTGTCAATAAGAATTTGAGATACATATAATACATCTTCAGTTCTCTGGAAGATTACAGTAGCAGTCACAAGAACAAGTATGACCAACTTCTGAAACCCATTCTGTCAACACATTATGTACGTGCCATTTTTCTCAAATAAAGCATCAAGCTTGATGCTCACCCTCTCAAACTTTGACAAATACAAATGACATTCAACATACTAGCCTCCCCGCAGCTGCGGGGCATTGGGGGAGACAGACAGAATCTGAAAAAAAAAAAAAAAAGAATAGAAGTGCTCTCAGATTGCAAAAATGTGGACCTTTTAAAAACAAATTGACCAGAACCTATAAAATAACAAAACATATATGCATATAGTGACAATTTTCCACATACATCAATAGTGATATAGCTGTAGCCACCAAAATACGTCTCCCATAACATTTTAGTGGACACAGTATTCTTTGGCGGAGATAGAAACTTTTTTATTAAGTTCAAAATATAATTACTGTTAAGCAAAAGAAGGCCAGACAAACACAAAGAAAGAAGAAATGAAGACACCAAGAAAGAAGAGATGTTAGCATGTACTACTCCTTAATGATTCAGGCACCATATTTGTGAACCTCTACCATGGAATGAAGAGTGCTTAATAGAATTCAACCCCTTGCAATGAAATACATTATAGTGGGATGCAATTCAACAGATGCATAAAGGTAAAAAGTTTAAAATAACAGAGGTAAACATACACAAATGCAGATAAACCAATTTTGATAAGAAACCAACCATATGTTTTTCACTGAAGACAATCAACACTACAACTACAGATCAAGGTAACATGAGCATCACAGAAAGCATACAATGCCGCCATACCAGGGATCTGGGATCATGGAAAGGAATTTATCCAGAAAGTCCAAGGCTTCAAAAGTGTTCAAATGTA